CGATGCCGTGTGGGCCAGAATACGTGAAATTTCAGAAAAGCAGGAGCTTGAACAGGTTAAAAAATTGGAGGTAAGCCTGCATTTATGTTACTTAGGTTAGAAATGCAGTTTTGGAGAATTAAGGAGAAATACTCACCTCACAGTGGAAGGAATAGGAAAGGTTTTTGACTTTAACAAATAGGGAGGTAATAATTCCATATTTTGATCAAGGCCAGTTCTTAACTATTTCTTCTGCTAGCAGTCTTTCCAGGCGCTTTGAGCAATGCTGATCACTTGCTGGTCATCCTGCTGGCAGTTCTGACGTTTTTTTCGTCCCCTTGAGAACTTATCGGTTCAAAGCGTCAATTTAGTCATTTCAAGTTATTGCTGATTGTGTACTGAGTACCAAGAAGAAAAATTCAACTAAAAAGTGTAAAATGGAATACAAATGGATTACAGAAATAAGTAAAAAGGGCTCGACCAGATAAGTTTACTGAAAAAAAGAAATCATCAAGCTTTTTTTTAAGATTGTCAAGCTTAGCTATTTTAGGGTATTCAGTTCTTTAAAAAATATGTTTCCAGTCTTTAGTCGCCGTTTTTTCGAGTATTGACTTTTTCTGTAAAAAAAAAGTAAAATTCATACTTTTGTCAGGAGGAAATGGCTCAATATCAAGAAAAATTGTCGCAGACTGAATTAGCATTAAAAGGCGCCAACGAAAGCAAAAGGAAAATGGATGAACATTTGAAAATTTTGCAAATGCAAAACGACGAACTGCTAGAAGAGGTGGATTCCTGACTTTATTTTGCTTGATCTTTGTCTTCTTTTCTTATATCGCAAACATTTGAACATTCTGAATTAAATTCGGATTTTGATCAGGGACTTGGTGCGAACTTAATAAAATTTTTATAAAATTAAGTGTGGAATGCGCAAAGAAAAGGAAAATAAGGTGCTGTAAAAGGAAGGGCAGGAAAATTTTAGAAGCTGTAAGGAAATGTTTCTCTCCATAAAGTCGTGTATATTAACAAAGTTACAACTGAACCTCATTAGTACAGCGGTTGTGGCAGAATGAGTTTTGAAAGGTTTATTAATATTATAGTATAAATTTTAAGTAAAGACTAAAGGAATTAGATGCAAAGTTAAATGGGTATGAGAGAGAAGTTAATTGGGAGGTCGGAAAGAAGAAATGAGTAAATTATAATTCTCTCAAATTTCAGAACGAAGAATTGAGAAAGAAATTGGGAAGGCAAGAAACATCCATTAGCAATCTCAAAAAACAGCTGAAATTAGTGGAGGAATCAGCGGCGATACGTATAAACGATCTCAAATTTCACCATCGATTAACTGTAAGACATATTTTTGACTGCTGCAATTTGTAAATTCCTCTTTTTTTTTTGCCAAGAATATCAAAATTGCTCGGTGAATTGGTGTGTATATATGTGTGTTTATATATATGTATATATATATGTATGTGTGTGTGTGTGATCCTATGTGACAATGTTGCTGAAAGTTTCTGGGGTTTGCCTAGCCACTTTCTAGTTTGTTACGCCCTCACACTGCGATAATAGGGTGCTTGACGTGTAGGACGACTTTTTCCAGCTTTTAAAAAATAATTAGAAGACACTCTGTTAGGTGAATAAACTACAAGTTGCCGATTCGCAGTTACGGGCGTATCATATGATGGAATTGGAAAAACCGAATCAATCCCACGACCATCGTGCTACTTCAGAAACAAGGTTTTTTTATTCTTATTTACTGGGCAACTTTTAAAATTAATGAGGCTGCTTTTCCCAATTTTCTTCGTTTTTCAGGTTACCACTAGCGGATTTGGAGTCTGTCTCAACATCGACGCCTTCCGAATCTTCATTCGAACAAAATTTTCGCGATCGAATGAATGCAATTGAACTTTCGAAACAGGTTAAGCTTAAAATTGGCGTCGCGCTTGTACTGTGGTTGACTGAGATGAGCGTTTGTATCATTGTTAGAAAGTGAAATGAGTCGAAGTTGCAAGTCGATTGTAGCAACCAGGTTGACCTTGGAAGCCTAAATGGCGAAGGCGTGATAGCTTACAGAATAATAGAACAGTCGAGAAGAAAATAAACGTGAGATAAGACGTTTCGGTCCATGTAAGTTCAAATACTGCTACCGATGAGTTACTGCGTTGGCTTGCCGGTGATTGCTTGTGTGACCTTTTCAAGCTTCCGTTCGGTATGGATAATGGGATATGAAAATGTCTTGTTTTACATGATATAATTTTCGGAAAGCTTAGAAGAACGGGGCTTGACGTATCTAACATTGCTTCCCAGTAGTTTTGAGGTTCAGCATACCCATAGTCCGAAGAGTTCCGTTGAAAAGAGCGATCTTTTAGCAGCTGGATTTATCGGTTGAGAAATATTGCTTGCGAGCTCGTTCCGAACCCTTGAACCGTTTGGAAATCACGCGCGCCTTGGACGAAAAACACACT